GGAGCACGACCCGAATAATGTGCCTCGTGCCCTAATCTAGCTCCCGTGTTAGTCTAGAGCGTCTGCCACGCGATCGCCGGTTTAGGGGACGAATCAATGCAAGGCAAAGAATAAGGCACAGGAATAAGAATCCCCAAACCCCGTAAATACAGCTGGTCATGCGTAAAATCTCGGGTACGCATGCTACGTCACGGTACTTTCAGATGCACTAGGTCTATCGTGTTAAACTGGACTGTCATGACGAAAGACTACCCACTATTGCTCTTTCCTCTCGGTAAGTTCAAACACTGATAGTTGCGGGGGTTGGTGTGTCGCGAGCATCCATCTCACGTGTGTCGAAGGCAACCGTTAAGGACTCACGCAGATAATTAGACTAACGCAAGTCATTCATCTCTAAATAGTACTGAATGCAAAGCATTCTACTTCCGTGAGGTAGGAAGACTTCGGTAAAGACTTAAACACCCTGATGAGGACCGCCAGAATAAAAAACAGGAAACTTACAGAGGAGTTAATCAGCCTTGCACCCAGGACGGAGGAAAGAGCAGCGATGATGGACTTGTAGGTGAGCGAAAGACGAGCGTAGTCCAACAGTTTATCCAAATGTGCCTCCGAGATTCCACCTTAAAAGGGAGTCGTCACAAAATTAAGGAAGAGGCAGTCACATAAAATCACAATGAAAAAACTGTCTGCTGAATTCTGCACTTCACACTAGGTTCGTTGCTCTGCCACATAACAAAATCCAACTCGAATACACGATAATTCGACCAGCACTTCCAACAAGGTGTACAATGTGCACGATAGGGACGATGACTTGCGAGTGAAGTAAATCATGATGGTACTAGACATGGGCTGCATCCATTGAACTCTTTCATCCTCCTGCAAGTCAAGAAGGACGGAGGCGGAATCGGACGCAGGAGGCCGGAGCTGCCCCAAGGCCTGCTTTCACGCCTGGTTCGTGTATTTCAAGGTGTGCGAGTGACATAGAGATCGCATTAAGGTGTCGTTGTAGCCTGACTCTCAGCGGGCCACTTCACGCAAACACACCTTGGGCTGACTATGTGATCAGAGTTA